TCAATAACAGCATTATGAATTTTCGGTCATATTCTCAAAGTGATGGGTTGTCTATGATTGGATGATCGGTAATGAAACAACCATTTTCAAATCCTTATGACAAGGACAACATGCATTGAGGCTGTCTTCAAAATAATCAGTGAGTTTCCCCTGCACTATTCATAAGTTATCTTCCTGGCATGACCCGTGGGCGCACAAACAATAAACTGGTTTCTCTTCAGACAAGTTAACGATGGTCAGCCAGTAATTGATGGCAGTCAACGCAAACAAACGACAGATCAGTTTATCAAGATTCTTCCTTTATGTCTTCGTTTAGACTAACGTCTTGTCTCTGAGATGAACATATCTTAGAGAAAAAAAGTTGTTAAATGATCTTAATAAAAATATAATAAAACGGAGCCCAGAGACTCTCTTCATTTTCAGGGGGCACGGGTGGCTCAGTCGTCTAAGGCGCCGCGATTCGCTGTGCAGAGTTGCGTCCCCTGGACACGCCAGAAACCTATGATTTTTATTTTACTGTGTTCCAGTAAAAATGTATATATTCGCTTCCACATGAGTATAGGGGGCACGGGTGGCCCAGTCGTCTAAGGCGCTGCGATTCGCTGTGCGTCCCTTGGGCACGCCAGAAACCTATGATTGTGTGTTCGAATCCCGGTTCGCCCCGATTATGTTTCTAGGTTTGTCAGCACCATACCCGTGCTCGTGGGTTTCACCGAAGTGGTAAACGACTGAGACCTGCATCACTTCGGGCTTTCCTCCCACATTAAGCTGACACACCGCGATATAACTGGAATACTGTTAAAAGCGGCGTTAAACCCAACTCACCCCCCATTTTCTGATACTGCATTATAGACTTGCATGGGCTGTATTGGATATATTTGTATCAGGGTCTGTATGACAGACAAGTCTGGTAATATTTCTAAGCATGCCAGCACCATATCCTGCTCAGGTATTTCACCGATGTGGTAAACGTCAAAGACCTGTATCACTTCGCGCTTTCCTCACACATCAAGCTGACACGCGACGATATAACTGAAATATTGTTGGAAGCGGCGTTAAACCCAACTCACTCACTCACTCTGATGTTGCCTGGATTAATCTTTGACATTGTTGATGATAAATAGCTGGGCATTGCTTCTAAGTCCCGAGGTATGTCTACACTAATAGCTTGGTTTGTGTCGATTACGATAAGGTTTTGCCTATTGTGTGTCAATAGGAATTGTGTGACTCAGTAAACTCCACGTGTATTTCAAACATTACCGTTGCCTTGGAGACGCAGAACGCTCACAAAATCCACTGATGAACTGTTTGATAATGTGTACATTTTAACGTACCTAAGGGAGCATCCATTTTATTTGTATGGGTGTGTCTATTAGAACAATCTATTTATTCCCATCTGTATCTAACAAACTATTTATTTACTGAACACCATCAAATATATTTATGTTTTCACAATAAACACACAAAATAATTGGGTATTTTCCATAAAAACAACTTATATTTTTCACTACTGTCAAAAACACTTCTCATTTTGAGCATATTAATAATTCAGAACAAACAATTCATTTCGTATCACTCATCAAATGCAAGATGCCAGTGCGGGCTGGTTGATCGATATTTTCACTAGCAGTGAAATGAACACCCAGCACATATTGCTGAGACAGCTGTTTCCCCATAGTAGATCGCCAACTGTGCACATACATCAATCATTATGTCCGTCAACGCTGTACAAAACTACCGGACAAAAGAAAGTATACAACATGACACACCCATGTGTGATGGTAACTAAAATAGAACAAACAAGAAATTGTGATTCGATGGTGTTTTATACGGGTGTCATAATTATGTTTTGGACTTAGGTTTGCAGTGTTTCGGCGACTGTTTTAAGTTTAGTTTAAAAAAAAGAGTAAAAAAAAAAGTTTAGTTACGTTTTGATAACGTATGTAATTCTTTAAGTCAAATCCAATTTCCATGTGTATACTTTCCTTTTACCCGACAGTTTATATTAAAATGCAGCGAAATAGCCTATGGTATTTGAACGGTTACATAGCATGTTAACTGTCTGTATATTCCTTTAAAGTATATAACACGTGTGGTTGTCTGTATATATCCCTTCGACTACGGTGTTAAATATATGCATGGACACAGCTGGTGGGTATCGGTTTTACAGGCCGACATCTGCCATACTACTGCATGAACGACGTTTAACCACATTCTCTCACATAACATCGACTGCATCAATCCAGGAAATGGAGGTTGAATAATAACACACATGCACAGACGCTATTCAGGTCGGACATCCCCGTGAAGATCCGGATTGAAATTGGTCTTCAGCAACAATGCTTGTCGTGAAAGGCGACTAACGGGATTACGTGGTCAGGCTCGCTGACTGGGCTGATGCGTGTCATCGTATCCCAATTGCGTAGATCGAGGCTCATGATGTCAACCACTGGATTGTCTGGACAACAACTAGGCCACGTCATAGAGCTGGAATATTGCTGAGTGTTTCGTTAAATAACAAACAAATCAAGCCAGACAAAAGTGATATTGTTTGACGGATGCTATTAGTGAACATGCCAAGAGATATTATATATGACAAGTAAGTATTTGTGTGTGTATATATATATATATCATCCATAACTGGCTCCCACGTGGAGATATCGCTTGGATGAGATCTACATTGTACATCGATTATTTACAGACCGCCGTCATATAGCTGGAATATTGCTGAGTGCGGCGTTAAACAACAAACCAACTAACCAACCCTTGAACAAGAAATGACATGGTCTTTCCTTGTTTGTTTGTTTTGTTTGTGTGTTGTTTAGAGCTGCTCTTAGCAATATCCCAACAATATGACGGCGGTTTTTAAATAATTGAGTCTGGACCAGACAATCATGAGCATCGATCCACGCAATTGGGATACGATGACACGCAACAATCAAGTCACCGAGCCTGACCACCCGATCCCGTTAGTCGCCTCTTTCGACAAGCATAGTCACCTGTTACGGCAAGCACGGGTTGCCGAAGACCTATTGTAGCCCGGATCTTCACAGGACATCACACGTATATCAAAGTTTATCATGAATTCTATGACATGTATATATATATATACATGATCTGAACTCGTCCAGGGCCCACTTGCACAAAGCGATCTTAGCGCTTAGATTATCGTAACTCCCATACTTTAACATAGGCTTACGATAGTCTTAGCGCTGAGATCGCTTTGTGCAAGTGGGCATATGTGACTTTAAAAATAGTCAATTTAGTTTGATAGATTTGCCCTACGATTGGCATGGATGTTTTAACATGCACTTACAGTGGCCGTATAGTCCATCATTTAACTGAAGTGACGGGGTCACACGGTCAAGTAGCTCGTGATGCATGGCTAACGCCATTAAACTTGATGTATGTATTGTTGAAATGTGAGTGAAGTTGCAGCATAAGAAACCCCCGGGGATTCTGATCCCCAGCAACCTATATACTGTAAGAGGGGTCGGAATGGATCGGGTGGGCAGGCTCGGCACGTCTTCCCCAGGCAAGGACCGGAGTTAATTGATGATCAAACTTCAGTTTCCATGCAGGGAGTTGACTGACTGACTATAAATGTCCAGTTGCAGCTGGACTTCTACAGTCACCTAACTCCCTTGCCTCGGGAAGATGGGCTCGGTGACATGGCAGCAGCGTTCACCAAACGACGTGGATCGTTGCTCATAATATCGATCACTGGATAGTCTGGTCCATATAGCTGGAATTGTTTTGTGCGGCTTTAAACAACGAAGAAAACTCCTACACATTAAAATGAGACTTACTAAGTTGGTGAATTTTCATGTGAAAACATGCAGAGGACAATCTTCACATATATCTGACTGAGACGTACAGTAAAGTGGAGAATTAAAAAAAAACATTCAACGTTTTCTGAGCTAGGTATGTGTATAGTGTTTGTATGTACATGTGTATTAACATTTTAAGATCAATAATAATGAAAGGAAGCTGGGAATCTTATATTCGGTTGATCAAAGGTTTTTATGTCAAGTATTTGAGATTATAATACGTTTTGTGATAGATTGTAATGAAAAATTGATGGTGTGGACACTGTACATAGTCTAGAGTCGAATGCTTTGACCTTTTATTGTGTTAATCTGCTTGTCGTGTATCCATTTATTTTTCCAATACAGTTCCATTCCAATGCCCTATGCGGTTTCTATCCTAATCGGAATGTCACGGCTTTAATCTCCAGAGTCATCGGCCATTCGTCATACCGCACGCTCACAATATTTCTTAGCGGAAATCTGAAATATCACACGGTCAGTAACGTCCCCTGAATATGTTGTGCTACTTTCTAGACAACACAATAATTTGAGTAGAGACCTTGTGGTGAGAGATGGGCATAAGTAATAATTTGATATGCAAATATGGACTTGGATTTGATGTGCTACTTTCAGTTAGCAAAGCAATGATGTACATGCCTAACAAGGATAAGCTTAGTTTCATATATCACAAACTGAAACGCTTTAGCACGAATTTCGAATATGGGATGCGATATGTATATGTACTGATTTATATGTTAGGTTATATAATGATTATTAGGAAATGAGTAACGGGGGTAAAATACTGAAAGAAGAAGTTCTTGAATGTTACCTAAAAAATAATCTTTTGTTATTTTTAATTACTATTTTAATCCGTTACAAACCGTCACATACTTATATTTGCTATCTTCCAAAGGACTCCGCGATTATGAGTATAATAATGTAAGTCCTTTGCGTCATTTTATCGTGGTTTAAAAAAATATGACTTTTTCCTTTTTACAAATTTGTAGAATAAGAAATAGCATTAGTGACAACATACATTGGTGGGTCCCTTTTAAAAAAAAAATATGCTGGATCCGCCCTTCGTTTGGCCATAGAAGTTTGTCCATTCACATCAGTCACCACGTAAACAACGAAACCACGATACCATGTGTCCAACAGAGCACTGTTAAACGTTTAGTATAATAAGCTGTGTGGAAAATACAGTTTGACCTACTTACTTCTGCTCGGTAGCTTTTTCTTTCATTCATGAATGTCGGTGGTTCTATTAACATAATCTAGCTAGTGAACGAGGCCAACATATGACTCACTCCACGCTCGGAATGACAGCGACTGAGAGTGACAATTAGCTGTGATGTAATTTGTCGGAGTGAGAAACTGCTGCATGCTAAAATATGGCAGCTATTTGGCGTCTGCTTTGATTCGGAGGAAGTGCGAGTCTGCTGCTGATGAAGATGATATCACATGAGGAATGCCGAGTTGCAAGATAAGACTTGACAGCTGATTGCAACTGCAGTATTCATACATATCTCCAAGCATAATGGAGACGGGGTAGGTGCCTTTGTTCATGGATCTTCAATAAGGCGTCAATCGTCTTTGTGTCACGCTAGTTGCTGTCGCTATTGACGGAGGTTGTTTACAGTTGTGAATGTCATAGGGACCTTCCTATTCCTTGTTTACGTGTTAGATTTGACATAAAAAGCTAGGACGCTCCCGGGGATTTGTGTGGGATATTATTCACTGAATTGTGTGATGTGATACGAAACTAAATTCTGCAGTTGGCCACACAGAATTTAATTAATTTTATGAAGTGAAGTCAAGTTTCTTACTGTGACGATTGACACCACAGTACACTAACCTTGATGAATATGTATGACGCTGAACATACTGATGTAACATGACACCTTTCCCCAAACATCAACCTCAGTCTGGATTCTAGAGTGTAACATGTTTGCAGCAGTGCCCCATGCTTGTCTTGATAACTTCAGGCCCTAGTCTTTGCTAATGAGGAATCAGGTGCTTAAATGTGGGTGACCTGGCTTGTGTGTTTTCCTGCTGACTGTTGTAGATCGTTTGCTCATGCTGTCAACCACTGCTTGTCAGAGAGAGACTTGATTACTTCCTGGTCACTATGATGTAGCTGGTATAGTGCTTACTGTTACATTAATGACATTCAATCATTACTTGATAAAAACATCCAAGGTGCAGTGACCATGGTGACACGTACTGATTTGTTTTGATGCAGTGGTGTTATAACCATGAAAACAGTAAACCGCACAGAGTGTCATTTAGAGTTGAATTGTTGTTGGTTATGTGACCCATCAGCTGTGGAAATAATAACTTGAATAAGCCTGTACACTGTACAGTATGTACAGTGGGTATCTGGCTTCTTGACCTATATTGCTCACTAAACAATAATAATTTTGTTGTTGTGTTCATTGAAATTCCTGCATTCTGATTAGCTGAATTGGTCACGTGTTATTGCATTCATTTCCCAATGAATGTAAAAAATTAAGCCATGCCCACCAAGGCGCACTACTTTTATTGTTGCGGAATTACGGGGAAACCCAATATTACAGTCAAGGGAATTCCCTTTCTGCTCACGTGTATCATCATGCACAGGACATTTAGCGACATTCATGCATATTCATTGTCCAAACTACTCTTTGAAACCGAAGGCCGAGAAGGAATGAAACAGGGAACGTGCAGGCTCGTTCGGCTGTTTTTTCCCCGCTGGCCTCGGTTCCTTAACTTTCATGTTTTCGGGTTTCATTTCTAACTAGCATTTTTCCAACTGTGTCTTCCTGTTCTCAGGGAACTAATGTTTGAATCTGGCGGTAACTGACCATGTAATTTGAAACAGCCGCGTTCTCCCGGACATATTTCTTCCTGTTCATTACAGTCTGACTGTTGCAGTTCTTCTCGCACCTTGCCTTAATTAACAGGTCCTATGAACATTGTTTTGATCCTACTCTCCGTTGATTGGCTACTGACTTTGTAGGCGTGTCAAGTTATGTGCATTAATTTAACGATCACCTGATGCATGTCAGGCCACAGTATGTATTCATACACCTGGAATGTTTATCAATCTCGTCATTTTTGTCTGTTTTGATATATACAACTGTGTTTGGTTAAACTATTGCAGATAAAACATGTTTAATGCTGTCAAATTTAATTATAAGCATTGACTGTGTATTTTTTTCAGTATATTAAGGTATGAAATCGAAATACCGATATGCAAACTGTATGAATCCGCAGTAATGAAGGGTTATGTTTTCAGCTTCAATAGTTCATGGCTCACTGACCATGACCCCCTGGCTATCAGAAGCACTGCATATTTGTTAATAGGTGAATGGGTGCTGCAATATCCTTGCAGTGTACAGGGTTTTATCTTCACTTAGAAAAGTGGGGGTCCTGGGGACCCCCAATAATTAATTTTAAGGGTCCTTGCAGGCGATATGAGGGTACCGTAATGTAATGAAATGGTATAGTGTACTGCACATTTAGAACATTACTCATTACAAACTACCCTTTGAAACCGAAGGCCGAGAAGGAATGAAACAGGGAACGTGCAGGCTCGTTCGGCTGTTTTTTCCCCGCTGGCCTCGGTTCCTTAACTTTCATGTTTTCGGGTTTCATTTCTAACTAGCATTTTTCCAACTGTGTCTTCCTGTTCTCAGGGAACTAATGTTTGAATCTGGCGGTAACTGACCATGTAATTTGAAACATTACATTTAGAACATTACTCTAGAGCCTGGAATGAATCATTGATCATGTGGACAGTGGTCAAGATTGATGGATGAAATAACAGACACCCATAACTGCTCTTGATGCACTGTAGGCACAGTGAAGTATTATTATGCATCCCTTGGGACACACTGGGTTTTTTTCTGAGTCCATTCTCTACATTTGTGCATACTGGATGCACATTTGTGTGTCACACTAAACACTGAGTGTACATATTATAGCCCATCATCTATTCACAGGCACAATAGGCCTGCAGCTTCCGTGCTAGTTCTAAAAGCTGATTAAACTAAGGATTAGGTAGTTACAATGTGTCACCTGGTCACTTGTTTGTCATCATGCACAAACTGTGTGGATAGATCTAGTTGTTTGTGCTGTCAACTACAGTTTTGGCTGGCCCAAACTCAGTTATCACTTATTCAGAGACTGATGAAAAGGTGAAATATATACAACCTTCACTCAGGTCCTCAGCTTACATTACTGTAATAAGAGAAAGTGATATTAGACACTGTTACAAAGGGCCATCACAGTTCCAACATGACCGACAGAGCTTTAAATTGGCAAATTATATTTCCTGAAAATGTTTATTTATCTTTTGAATATTGTGCATTAAACATGTTAAAAGATTATTATTTAGCTGATGACATTAGATATTGGGTAAGAAATTATGGGTTGAAATCATGTTTCTCTTTTGCATATCTGTGATATGAGTGAAGTGGGATGGGGGATATTGATTTGGGCTCCAACCGTCCTTCCATCCGACTTCAGTCAGGACAAGTGTTTGGAAACCACAGTGGATAAAAGCGTGACAGTTTATTTGCATCATAAAAGATTAAATGTGTTGATTGATAGCCAATGGAAAATTATTTATAACCATTATAACAGAGTTATGGCCCTTGTTTGATCTCTTGTATAATGGTGCACAAGAACTCCAGTGTGGACAAGTTTGCTCCGAAACGACAATCGATACAATGGTGATTATGTATTCATCACTAAGTGAAATGTATGTAGATTATGGTTCGTGTAGATTATGATTACCGTATTTGACGTTATAAGCGCCCAGGGCGCTCTCAAAATAAGAAATAGGGGGCTCTAATTAGAATATTATTTTGGTGAAAAAAAACGGAGTGAAAGGTAAATTTCGTGGTTTATGCTGACAGCCTGAAATGTTTATATACGACAGATATATTTTTCCAGAATTTATTTGCCCATAATTAAGTTTGCATATAACACACGAGTGCGTTATATACGCAAATAAATAAGACTTGTGTACATTGATCAATCGGAAGGATGCTAATTGGGTTTGTTCACTAGCCAATATATTAGCAAATATCGCCGTGGGCTCTTATTAGAGCGGGGCGCTTATTACGTCGAATACGGTATGTAGCTAGGCATGATTAAGAATTGTAAGTGGTCATAGATACAAGCTTGATTATGTTACACGGCCTTTAAAAAAATACACTATACGTTAACAGCTTAATAATGATTTGTGGTTTTCTTGATCATTTTCAAAGTGGTGTCACAATCATGACACTGTTGTTAAAATAATGATGACATATTATCATTGAACTATATAGTATGAGGCAACAAACAATCATAGTTTTCATGTCTCCGGTAATCACACACCTGGCATGGCCACTGTATTTCACCAAATATGTGAGTGAATCGTAACAGCCCTAACATATAGTGGCTCCCTTGATGATTTTGACACACCCACACTGATAGTGCCGATAGGACAGGATTGTGTAGATTTCAATTAATGGCCATAAAAACACCTGTGGTATAATTTAGCATGCTTATAGGCAATTGATAGGTTAACAGTAATTTAACACAATAAATTCATTGACACTGATATGTATGCTAGAAATCATTATTCAGGTGGCTGAAAATTGCCTGATAGCCTGATGAGAATGAAGAGTGTTCCTTTTTCGCCCACCTTTATCATGTGTATTGACAGTAGGATATACACGGGTTACACAATCCCACACATAGCCAAATGGTTACGGGTTACTGGGATGGGCTATAGTTAAGCATTTTGTTTTCCAATAGCGAATGACGGTATAGGATAGCAGTTGTGCACTAGAAAAGAAGGATACAGAGATGAATACTATACATATTGTAGAGGCAGTTTCTGTATAGAGACTTATGAATCATAAACTCAGCAGGAGGCTACGTGTATTGCCAATGCAATAAAGGGTGTCGTGCCGGGTTAGCGAAAATCCAATTTTCTCTAGTATCAGTAAAGCAAAAACCCAAGTTGGGGTATTTCTCCTACGAAGGCGAAAATGAGTAATTGCTATAAAAACACCGGATTACCGTAGTTTAGATTAGCGCCCGTGCTGTTACAAACAGAGGAGAGGAGAGGAGATTTACTAGAGAGTCGTTTCGTAAAAAAATAATACAGTTGGATGTTTAAACGCAGGAGAAGAGATGATCAGTTTCTTAATTGAACAAACAATTAGTTTCTTAGTTGATATGGGTTATGATACCGATGGGTTTAGAGGAGAGTCGTTTCTTAAGAATACATACAGTATGTATTTGATGGTATATATAAAGATTGCAACTTATTTATCTATGTCCAAAATGGCTAATGCACAAGTTCGAGTGACCATGGTTGATACCGTGCGAGGTGGTCAGCACTTGTTTTATGAGAGATTCAAGTTTCGTTGTAAGAAAACGGTCCGTGAGAAGAAATATTGGAACTGCGTTGTTGCTGCCTGCAGAGCGTCGGTGATCACTGAAAACTGCATTCTTCAAGCGGCTTTGCAGGTAAGAAAATAATGCACATGATAATGATGATAATAATC